GCGATGATTTGGGGGAAGAAAAGTAAGGGAAGAGGAGGAAAGGGCAATAATAGGGGAAAGAATAATAGTGAAGAGAGAAGGAATAGAAAGAAAGGATCAGAAAAAAATAGAAAAAAACAAGAAAATCAAATAAAAAGAAAATTATATAAATAAAATAGAAGTAAAAGCTGAGAATTAAAAAAAAAAATGGTAACAAAAATAAAGAAAAATCATAAGTAGTAAAAAAGGAAAATAAGAAAATCAAAACAAGCAAAAACGACCAGCGCTTGCTTACCTGGCCGCCACTGTCGCCATCCTCTCCTCCATCTTGCTCAGCGCCTTCTTTAGCGTCGTCTCCCTCTCTTCACCTTTCACTATCTCCTGCGTGTATGCCTCTTCCACGTTTATCAGGTGTTGCCGCAGTCTCTCACACTCGCTCGCCAGTCTGGTCTCACGCTCGCGGAGTTGGGCCAGCTAGGGGGGGGGTGTATGTGAGCGGTTTCGTTCTTTACGAATCTCTCTTTTACACTTTCTTACTTCTCTCTCGTTTCTCTTTCTCTTTCGTTCTTTCTTTCTCTCTCTCTCTTACTCTCTGTCATTTCCACTCACACTCACTCAATCCCTCTCTCTCTCTCTCTCTCTCTCTCTCTCTCTCTCTCTCTCTCTCTCTCTCTCTTACCTCTTTGCTTTGTTCCTGATACTGGTTATTAAACTGCGCATTTGCCAATCGCAGCTGGTCTCTCTCCTCCGTTATTGCCTTCTGCCCCTTCTCCCATTCGCCTTGCTCTCTCTTCGCCCTCTCCTCCTCCCTCCTCGCTTTCTCCTCCTCTCTCCTCGCCTTCTCCAATTCCACCTTTACCCTCTCTTCTTCCTTCTTGGTTTTCTCCAGTTCCGTTTTCATCTTCTCCTCCTCCTCCTTCTTTGCTCTTTCAAATTCCTTTGTGTGCTCGTTCATCTGTGGGGATAATTGGTTTGGTTAGTCTCCTGCTTCCATTACCGATGTAATAGTTTGATCTCACTCTGCCATTTACCCTTCTCCCTCCCTCTCTCTCCCTCTCCTTCTCTCTGCCTATCTCTCGCACCCTACCTCTTCCTCTCTCTCCCTCTCTCCCACCCTACCTCTTCCTCTCTCTGCTTCTCTCTACCTCTCTTCCACCCTACCTCTTCCTCTCTCTCCCTCTCTCTGCCTCTCTCTACCTCTCTCTCCCACCCTACCTATTCTTCTCTCTCCCTCTCTCACCTGCATTAACACAGCTGATAGTCTCTGCACCTCCGCATGATATGCTAAGCTCTCTTCGTGTTTCTGTTTCAGCGCTTTTATCATCTCTTCTCTCTCTCCTCTGAAGCATTCAATCTGTTGCTTCATCCTGTTTCTTTCTTCTTCTTCTCTCTCCTCTTCTTCCCTCCTTTGCTTGATTGTGCTGTCGTCCTGTTTCTCTCTCTCTGATTCTCTCAATTTCGCTTTCTCTATCTCTTGTACGAGGTTTTCCTTTACCCTTTCGAGCGCTTCCTTCTCTTTATTCCAGGTCTCTCTCTCTTCTGTCTTCTTCTTCTCTTCTTCCTCTCTCTTCTCCTTTTGCTCTTCCTCTCTCCTTTTATTCTCATTTATCAGTTCTTCCATTTTCTCCCGTAGTTGGAATAATTCCGTTTCGCTGTGATCTAGCTGATCTCTATTCCTTTCTAATTCCTCTTTGTTTATTTTCAATTCTTCTCTGTCCCTTTCTATCTCCTCTTTCTTCTGTTCCATCTCCCCATTCTTTCTTTCCAATTCTTCTTCCTTTCTTTCTACCTCCTCTCTCTTCCTCTCTATTTCTTCTCTTTCCCTTTCAACCTGTTCTTTAAGAGCAGACACTTCCGTCATTTTCTCTAGCGTCATTTCATTCACTTTATCATTATTTTCGGATAAATTCTGCGTTAATTCACTAACCTTTTCGTCTCGTTTTTGAATCTCCTTGCTCAGTTCTCGGAGTTTCTCGTCACGTTCTGACAAACTCTTTGTCAGTTCTGTTATCTTGCCCCTGAGTTCTGACAGACTTTGGTTCAGTTCGTCCACTTTATCATCTTTGAATATGATCTGGGATTTGGCCGCGTTGAGTTCCTTTTCTCGCTCCTCCAGCTGCATCCTCAGGTCCTCTAGGGTCCTTTCTGGCGCTTGAAGGACAGCTTGCTTTAGGGTCATGTCGTGGAGCTCTCCCTCTAGCCTGGAAATTAATTCGTTACGCTCTTCAACAGCGCGATATTGGAGGAGGAGCTGCTGGCCGAGGGACTGTCTCTCGTGTGCATTAAGTCCCTCTGAGGCTCTGAGGTGTCCCAGCTCGTCCTCCAGGGTGCGGATCTTTTCTTCGAGGGCATGCTGTTTCTCCTCCAGACCTTCACGCTCGTCCTTGTGGGTGACGGCCTCCAGGTCTAGCTGCCTCGTCAGGGTGTCGAGCTGACCCATGAGCCTCTCTTTCTCTTCTCTTATTGCGTGTCCTTCTTGCCTCAGCGCCCTAACCTCCTCCTCCAACCTCTCCTTTTCCTCCTTCCTCCTGTGACCCTCAGCCTTCAGCGTCCCAACCTCCTCCTCGAGTACAACCTTGACTTGCCTCAAGGACGCAGCTTCCGTCTCGAGGTTGAGGATATTTCCCGCACGGCCTTCTTCCCTGTCCCTCAGCCTGGCGAGGGCGTCCCCTTGCTCTGCCCTGAGGCGCACAACCTCAATCTCGAGGTTCCTGCGTGCTTCCGAGAGGGCTTCAACCTGAGCTTCGAGGTAGTGGATCCTACTCAGCCTAGACGACTCCTCTTCGTCCTCCGCCTGTTCCTTTTTCGCATCCCTTCCATCCCTCTTCCTGACCTTTCCATCCTTCCCTCCTTCCTCCATGCCCATCTTGGCAACCTCCCCTTCCTCCTCGTCCTCTCCGCCAAGACCAGTGGGACTCCTCCTCGCCTCCTTCACTTCCCTCTCGGCACCCTCGCCCTCGCCCTCAGCGTCCTCCTCCTCCTCAATTGTTGGAAGACCTCCTCCTCCTGCCCGAGGTCCTCCTTCGGGAGTGGGTCGTTCGCCCTTCTGCACCTCCTCCAACTGGTCTCTGAGGTCCTCACACTCGCGTTCTAGCTCGGCCTGGAAGGAAGGGAGGAATGTGGAGATAAACATGAGGAAACGAAAGAAGGAATAAAAATGATAAAAGAGAAACACAATGATCTGGAAGAAAGGGGGAAATGAGGAGACGAAATAAGATCTAAAATAATAAATCAAAGGCACAATAACCTGGATGGAAGGGGGGAGGCTTGAGGAGACGAACATGAGGAAACGAAAGAAGAAATAGAACAATAAATAAGAAACAAAAAGGCCTAGAAGGAAAGGGGAAATAATACAAACGATTTGTTGCAATTTCTTAACCCTAATAGGTAAATGGGAGGGCAGGTGACGTCGAGTAAGCCTGGTAATAAATATCTTGGTGATTAAGCATCCCTCACTCACCCTCGCGCTCTCGGCTTCCTCCAACATCCTTCTCTTCTCCCTGAGCTCCTGCGTGACGCCCGACACGTGCCGCTCGAGCGTGTCCCTCTGCCAGCTCGAGTCCCTGAGGAGGTCGGCCAGGCGGTGCACTCCTTTTGAAATGGTGTCGGGGTTCTGCGGAAAGGAGCGGAGCTGATAAATGGGGGACGACGAGGAAGGGGAAGGAAGGAAGAAGAGAGTGGGTGGGCGGAAGAAGGAAGGAAGGAAGG